TTGAAGATTTTGGCTGACTTCAAGATTCTACGGTTCCAAAATGCTCAATTCAATATTTTGGGTCAGTTAAAGTTTTTTCGCTTTGTAAAATTCTGAATTCAAGATCTTAGGGTTCCAAAATCGTGAATTTAGGATTTTGGCTGAGTTCTAGATTCTTGTGTACCAAAATCCTGAATTTAATATTTTAGCTGACTTCAAGATTTTGGTTTTCCAAAATCGTTAATTCAAGATTTTGCCTGAATTCAAGATTTTAGGTTTCCAAAATTCTGAATTCAAGATTTTGCCTTACTTCAAGATTCTAGGTTTCCAAAATCCTGAATTCAAGATTTTTTCTGACTTCATGTTTTTGGGTTTCCAAAATCCTGAATTCGACATTTTGGCCAACTTCAGCATTTTGGCTTTTTAAAATTTTGAATTCAAGATTTTGGCTAAGATCAATACTTTGGCTCTTCAAAACCCTGAATTCAAGATTTCTGCTTAATCCAAGATTTTGGGCTTCCAAAGTCCTGATTTCAAGATTTTGGCTGACTGCAAGATTATAGCGTTCTTAAATTTTGAATTGATGATTTTTGGTGACTTCAAGACTTAAGCTTTACAAAATCATGAGATCAAGATTTTGGCTGATTTCATGATTTTGGCTTTAAAAAATAGCAAGTGCAAGATATTGGCTGACTTCATGATTTTGGCTTTCCAAAATCCTGAAGTCAACATTTTGGCTGACTGCAAGATTATACCCTACTATAATCCTCAAATCAAAATTTTGGCTGAATTCAAAATTTTATTGTTCCAAAATCCTGAATACAAGACTCTGGCTGACTTCAAGATTTTGGCTTTCCATAATTCGGAATTCAAGATTTTGGCTGACATCAAGATCTTAGCGTTAAAAATCCTGAATTCAAGATTTAGGTGACGTGAAGATTTTGCTTTCAAGAATCCTGAACTCAAGATTGTGGCCCACTTTAAGATTTTGCATTCCGAAATCATGAATTCAAGATTTTGGCTGAACTCAATATTTTGGCTTGCTAAAATCCAGAATTCAATATTTTGGCTTTCTTCAAGATTTAAGCGTTACATGGTCCTGAATTCAAGATTTTGGCTGACCTCAACATTTTGACTTTCCAAAATCGTGAGTTGAAGAATTTTGATGACCTCAAGATTTTGGTTTTCCACAATCCTGAATTCAAGATTTTGGCTGACTTCAAGATTTTAGCGTTCCAAACTCCTGAAATGAAGATTTTGGGTGACTTGAAGATCTTGGCTTTCTAAATCCTGAACCCCGTATTTTGGCTTTCCAAAATGCTGAATTCAACATTTTGGCCAACTTCACCATTTTGGCTTTCGAAAATTTTAAATTTAAGATTTTGGCTAACATCAAGATTTTAGCTTTTCAAAACCCTGAATTCAAGATTTCTGCTGACTTCAAGATTTTAGCGTTTTAAAATGCTCAATTCAAGATTTTGGCTGACTTCAAGTTTTAGATTTCCAAAATCTAGATTCCAAGATTTCGGCTGACTGTAAGATTATAGCGTTCTAAAATCTTGAATTGAAGATTTTTGCTGACTTGAAGATTTTAGCGTTACAGAATCCTGAATTCAAGATTTTGGCTGACTTTAAGATTCTGGCTTTTCAAAATCCTAAATTTAAGATTTTGGCTGATTTCAAGATTTTAGCCTTCCGAAATCCTGAATTCAACATTTTTGCTGACTTCGAGATTTTGGCTTTCCAAAATCTTGAATTCAAGATTTTAACTTACTTGAATATTTTAGCGTTTCAAAACCTTGAATTCAAGATTTTGACCGACTTCAAGATATCGGCTCTCCAAAATCATGAAATCAAGATTCTGGCTGACTTAAAGATTTTGGCTTTCCAAAATCATGTATTCAACATTTTGGCTGACTGGAAGATTGCAGCGTTCCAAACTCCTGAATTGAAGATTTTTACTGACGTCGAGATGTTGGCTTTCCAAATTCATGAGTTTAAAATTTCGGCTGACTTCAAGATCTTGGTTTTGCAAAATCCTGATTTCAAGATTTTGGGTCGACATCAAGATTTTAGATTTCCAAAATCCTTACTTCATATATTTGATTGACCGCAAGATCTTAGCGTTGTAAAATGCTAAATTCAAGACTTTGGCTGACTTCAACATTTCGGCTTCCCAAAATCCTGAATTCAAGATTTTGGCTGACTTCAAGATTTTAGGATTCAAAAATCCTGAATTCGAGATCTTGTGTGACTTGAAGATTTTAGCGTTAAAACAACAGCAGAATCTTGATTATTTTTCTATTTGTTACTTGATGAATTGTGACATTATTATAATGCTCTACAGTAGACTTTCTCTTAACGGACACCTCTATAAGACGGACACCTCTGTAGAACGGACACCTTGAGTTGGTCCCTACCATTCTTTACTCCTTTTATTGACTCTCTATAAGACGGACACTTGGTGCCGTTCCCAAAGGTGTCCGTCTTAGAGAGAGTTGACTGTATTTTATCTTTTAAATAATTTAGTAGATTCTATAGTATCTGTATTCTTTGGTTTTTACCTTGTATTTTTTAATAGCTTATTATACTCATTTATTATTTTATTATTTATTTACTTATTTATTATTTACAGGGCCACAAGTTTATTAGCCCCGGCTATTTCGTGCTAACCCTCATGAAATAAAGTCTTAACTTACTTACTTACTTACTAAAACATCCTAAATTCAAGATTTAATGCTGACTTTAAAATTTTAGCCATCTAAAATCTTAAATTTTAGATTTTGGCTGAACTCAAGATTTTGGCCTACTTCAAGATTTTAGCGTTCCAAAATCATAAATTCAAGATTTTTGTTGGCTTGAAGATTTTAACCTTCGAAAAAGTTAAATTTTAAATTTTCCCTGACTTCAAGAGTTTAGCGTTCCAAAATCCGGAATTGAAGATTTTGGCTTATATGAAGATTTTAGCTTTCCAAAATCCTAATTTCAAGATTTTTTTTGACTTCAAGATTTTAGACTTAATTTTAGATTTTGCCTGACTTCAATATTTTAGCGTTCCAAAATCCTCATTTCAAAATTTTAGCTGACTTCAAGTTTTACGCTTTCCAAACTACTGAATTGAAGAGTTTGGCTAACTTCAAAATTTTGGCTTTTCAAAACCCTGAATTCAAGATTTCTGCTGACTTTAAGATATCAGCGTTCCTAAATCCTCAATTCAAGGTTTTGGCCTTCCAAAGTGCTGATTTCAAGATTTTAGATTTCAAAAATCTGTTATTCACGATTTTGGCTGACTGCAGATTGTAGCGTTCTAAAATCTTGAAGTGAAGATTCTTGCTGGCTTTTTGGGTTAAAAAATCGTCAAAATCAAGAATTCGGCTTTAAAAAATACCGAATTCAAGATATTGGCTGACTTCACGATTTTGCGTTTCTAAGATCATGATTTCAAGATTTTGGCTGACTTCTAGATTTTAGCGTTCTAAAATCCTGAATTGAAGATTTTGGCTGACTTCTAGGTTTCAGGGTTCCAAAATCCTGAATTGAAGATTTTGGCTGACTTAAAGATTTTGGCTTTTCAAAACCCTCAGTTCAAGATTTTTGCTGACTCTAAGATTTTGCATTCCAAAATCCTGACTTCAAGATTTAAGTGTTCGAAAAACCCGAATTTAAGATTTTGGCTTACTGTAAGATCTTGGCTTTTTAAAACCCTGAATTGAAGATTTTGTCTGACTTCAAGATTTTAGCTTTCCAAAATCCTGAATTTTAGATTTTGGCTGACTTCAAGATTTCGGCTTTCCAAAATCCTTAAGTCAAATTTTGAATTTAAGATTTTGGGTGACTTTAACATTTTGGCTTACAAATATCCTGACCTCAGGATTTTGGCTTTCCAAAATCCTAAATTCAAGATTTTCGCTGACTTCCGGAATTTCTAAGATTTTAGCTGACTGCAAGATAAGGGCATTCTAAAATCTGAAATAGAAGATTTTGCTGACTTTGTGCGTTGCAAAATCTTGAAATTAAAATTTTAGCTTTTATAAATACCGAATTCAAGATATTGGCTGACTTCATGATAGCCAAAATCATGACTTCAAGATTTTGGCTGAATTCTGGATTTTAGCGTTCTAAAATCCTGAATTGAAGATTTTGGCTGAGTTTAAGATTTCTGTATTCATAAATTTTGAATTCAATATTTTGGCTGACTTCAAGATTTTGGTTTTCCACAATCTTGAATTTAAGACTTTGGCTGACTTCAAGATTTTAGCGTTGCAAAATCCTGAATTCTAGATTTTAGCTTACTTTAAGACTTTGGGTTTAAAAAATACGAAATTCAAGATTTTGGCTGACTTCTATACTTCAGCATTCCAAAATCCTAAATTTGAGATTTTGGCTTTCCACAATCCTGAAATCAAGATGTTTGCTGAGTTTAAGAGTTTACATTCCAAAATCATGAATTCGAGATTTGGGCTTTGCAAAATCCCGAATTCAAGATTATGGCTTACTTTAAGATTTTAACGATTCAAAATCCTGAATTCAAGATATTGTGTGACATCAAGGTTTTGGCTTTCCAATATCGTGAATTCATGAATTTGGGTGACCTGAAGATTTTGGTTTTTCACAATCCTGAATTCAAGACTTTGGCAGATTTGAAGATTTCGGCTTTACAAAATCCTGAATTCAAGATTTTTGCTGACTTCAACATTTCAGCATTACAAAATCCTGAAGTTTAGATTTTTCCTGACTTTAAGATTATATCGTTCCAAAATCGTGAATTCAAGATTTTGGTTTTCCAAAATCGTGAATTCAAGATTGTGGCTTTCCAAAATCCTGAATTCTAGATTTTGGCTGAATTCAATATTTTAGCTTTTCAAAATCCTCAATTCAAGATTTTCGCGGACTTCAAGATTCTAGCTTTTCAGATGTCTGGTGTCGAAGCCGACCATGGCGGACGTGTTTCAATCGCTCTGTTAAAATTGCTCCTCGTTGGTCCCGAATATGGCCATTTCTCACAAAATAATAATTCAGTAATGCCTAAAAACAAACCAAAAATATCCTGCGAAGCTCTCAAAGAAAGAAAAATGAAGCGTACACGCGAAGGAAGCTCACAAACAGACGAGGATGTCTTCGAGGACGACAGCCATGGCTGCCCAAAATGCAAGTCAACGAATGCTCGTCTCGCTGAAATTGATGAGAAGCTTGAAAGATTACTAAAGTTAACAGACAAATTTGAAACCTACAAGAGCCGAGTTAAATCCCTCGAAGATGAACAGAAAAACATGCAAGAAAGCCTCGGAAGTTCTCAAACTGAGATAAAAGAAATGCAAGGTTTACAAGTTAACATCGCTGAACAACAGAAGACCACTGAAGCTTCACTTCAACCCGTCCAATGTGAACTCGCCGAATTGCAGCGCCGTCATATTAAATTAGGGTGTCACAGCTGCAGAGGTAATTTTAAATTCTATGGAATAAAAGAACGCGAGCATGAATCGAACGAAGACACAGAAGATTTATTGAGGAAATTTTTACGTACCGACTTAAGGATCCCTAAGGAGGACGAGGAAAGTATTCAGTTCGATAGAGTGCACAGGGTCTCAGCTCGTCGAGTATCTTCTGGCACTCCGAATTCCAAGCCACGACCGATTATTGTCAAGGCTTCCAGCTTCAACGACAAAGAGTTTATTAAATCTTTCATCTAAAACCATACGAAAGGCCGCAATCTTGGAATTTCCGACGACTTTCCTAAGGAGGTAGACGAAATGAGGGAAAAGCTGTACCCAGTACTAAAAGTTGCCAAGCAAGAAAAGGTAGAAAGGCTAATTGTAGATGGATCCCTTTAGCGCGGCCCAGAGACAATTGCTTTCCTCACTACGGACATTTAATGGACGTATAAATTAGCTCAGAACTTTTATGTTCACAGCCATATTTTAGAGGCCAGTAGTGTGCTTTACAAACAAAATTAGCTCGATGCGCAGTCAGTCAACGCCGCTCAAATACAGAGGTAAGTCATGGAGTTTTTGTGCGTACGTTTTGTGTTTTTGTTTTCGTTCTTGTTTCGTCTTAATTTTTGCGCAGTCAATTTTGCTTCCCTTCCCTAAAGGGGAAAGCGATCCAGGCCATATAAGTTTATACTTTTGTCTATGGATTGTGCCACACGGGCAAGGAAAACTACTTCATTTTATAATTGAGCAATAAATATGTCACACAAGCTTTTGACACTAAATGTAAGAGGGCTGAACAGTTCTAGAAAAAGAAGATAGGTTTTTCGATGGTTGCACCTGCAACGATCGGACATTATTTCCTCCAAGAAACTTATTCTTCAACGGAAACTATAAAATGATGGGAAGCCGAGTGGGGTGGGAAAGTTGTAGCTAGCCACGGTACAACTCATAGTAAAGGAGTAATGGTCCTATTTAAACCAAATCTCAATGTCACTTTTAAAAAAGCCTTAGCCGATAAAAATGGAAGATACATCCTCGCAGAAACATCAATTGATGAAACAAACGTAGTCTTTGTGAATATTTATGCACCAAATGATCCTTCTCAACAAATCCTTTTCCTAAGGGATCTGTCCAGCTCTGTGTTATCTGCATATGCAAATGAAAACCTTGTGTTAGGTGGCGATTTTAACTGCGTTATGAATGCAATGGACAAGAAAGGTGGCAGGCCTTTTGACTCAAAAAATGCAGCATTAACTGAGTTTGAGTCGACAATTAGGGTTCACAGCTTTGTGGATGCATGGCGCATAGTAAACTTGCACAATATCGGTTTCACTTGGAGCATGTCGATGCTGATACAAAGATACAAAGCAGACTTGACCATTTTTTCATCCCAAAATTTTTGCAAAAGTTAATTCAAGAATGCAGAATCATGCCTAACATCTTCTCAGATCATTGCCGCGCCTCGGGGTCCAGGCTATTGGAGGTTTAATAATTCTTTGTTATCTGACAATGAATACGTAGCTTTCTTACGCTCTAAAATTCCAGAATTCGTTGAAAAGTACAGAGAGGTCGAGGGCAAAGGTCTGTTTTGGGAAATGGTCAAGATGGAGATCAGAGGTCTTCACAGTTCGATTTTCTAAATTGAAAGCAAAGCGTAACCGCGATGAAGAGAAGCTCCTTACATCTAGGTTTGCTCAACTGAGCGCTAAACTTCAGACAGCATACAGTGAAGATGACAAAGCCGAACTTGAGCGAATCAAAATTAAACTTTCTAATATTCAATCTGAAAAGACACGCGGTGCTATTATAAGAAGCAGAGCCCGCTGGTATGAGCATGAAAAAAAAACAGCAAATATTTTCTTAATTTAGAAAAATTAAACTACCGGCGAAAACATATATCATCTTTGATTAACCACAACGGCAGCTAGAATAATGATCCAAAAGAAGTTCTTAATGAAGACCGGAACTTCTTTAAAGAATTGTACTCCTCTAGGAATGTGGACCCTAATATTGAGAAGTTCAGTCATTTTTTTAATGTAGATTTTCAACTACCTGAAGAGATGACCAGCACTTGTGAAGGAGAGATAACTTTAGCTGAATGCACAAAAGCATTATCAATGATGCAAAATAACAAATCTCCTGGCTCTGACGGACTAACAACAGAATTCTATCTAGCTTTCTGGGACATTATTAGCCACTATGTTGTCAACAGCTTTAACTACGCCTTCAATACTGGAAATCTATCTATTTCTCAACGACAAGGGATTATATCTTTGATTCCAAAGAAAAAAAAGGATACCCAGTATTTATTACTTAACGTAGATTACAAGATTGCAACCAAAACCATTGGTCTCCGTATAGAAAAGGTACTTCCACATTTGATCAATCCCTCTCAAACAGGTTACGTAAAAGGAAGGTTCATAGGCGAAAGCATCAGATTGATTTTAGATATAATGGAATACACTAAGAATAAGGATACTCCAGGCGTGGCCGTCTACTTAGATTTTGAGAAAGCTTTCGATTCGGTGGAATGGAACTACATTAAAAAATGCCTGGAAGCAACTAACTTTGGCCCTCATATCCGCCAGTGGGTTTATGTTTCTTATCATAATATCTCCAGTTGCGTTTTGAACAATGGTCACGCGTCGGAACCCTTCTTACTTGAAAGAGGTGTTCGACACGGGTGCCCACTATCGGGTATGTTGTTTGTTATAGCCATTGAGGTCCTTGCGCAAAAGACAAGACGCTCCAAAATGATCAAAGGAATTGAAATTGAGTACAATGGATCTCTCTCTTTTTGAAAGATGTTCTGGCCTTAAAATAAACGAATCAAGATCGTAACTGTTGTGGATTGGTTCATGGCGCGATAGAAAAGATAAAATTTTAACTTTACAAAGTAAGGAGGAGCATGTCTACGCGATTGGTGTTCATTTTGCGAAAATTGCCATAACTTGAACATTCGGGCACTTTTGGAGCCGCTGTTTGCGCCACAATGTTTTCCAGTCTTTGCAGTTTAAGTGCATACTAATTAAAGGATAATGCCATTTTCGCCAGAGTGCTTTTGGGCCTTTCAAACGAGGGCTACTTTATGAGCGATTTTTGAAAAATTTCCCTTAGTCCCCCCTTTGCACTTTTTCAGAAAATTCGGGTTTTAGGAAGACCATGCAAAAATTGCTGTAACTTGGCCATTCGGGAACTTTTGGAGCCGCTGTTTGCGTCAAAATCTTTTCAAGTCTTTGCACTTAAAGTGCAAAGACGGGAGAATATTTTGGCGCAAACAGCGGCTCCAAAAGTGTCCGAATGGGCAAGTTATGGCAATTATCGCAAGGTCACCCAAAACCCGCATTTTCTGGAAAAGTGCAAAGGGGGGACCAAGGGAAGTTTTTCAAAAATCGCCTAAAAAGAAGCCTTCGCTTAAAATTCTCAAAAGCACTCTGGCGGAAATAACATTATCCTCTAAATAGTAAATGGCATTATCCTCTAATTAGTATGCACTTAAAGGGCAAAGACTGGAGAAGATTTTGGGGCAAAAAAGCGGCTCCAAAAGTTCCCGAATGACCAAGTTATGGCAGTTTTGGCAAGGTCACCCAAAACCCGCATTTTCTGAAAAAGTGCAAAGGGGGGACCAAGGGAAATTTTTCAAAAATCATGCCATTTGCCCCCAAAAAGATGCCCTCGCTGAAAAGGCCCACAAGCACTCTGGCGTAAAAGGCATTATCCTCTAATTAGTATGTACTTAAAATGCAAATACTGGAAAAGATTTTGGCGCAAAAAGCGGCTTCAAAGAGTGCCCGAATGGCCAAGTTATGGCACATTTCTCAAGGTCACCCAAAACCCGCATTTTCCGTAAAAGCGCAAACGGGGGACCAAGGGAAATTTTTAAAAAATCGGCCAAAAATTAGCCCTCGTTTGAAAGGCCCAAAAGCACACTGGCGCAAATGGCATTATCCTCTAATTTGTACGCATTAAAAGTGCAAACACTGGAAAACTATTTGGCGTAAACAAGGGCTCCAAAAGTGCCCGAATGGCCAAGTTATGGCAATTTTCGCGAGATCATTCAAAACCCGCATTTTCTGAAAAAGTGCAAAGGAACTTTTTCAAAAATCGCCCAAAAAGATGCCCTCGCTAAAGAGGCTTAAAAGCTTTCTGGCGCAAGTGGCATTATCCTCTAATTAGTATGCACTTAAAGTGCAAAGACTTGAAAAGGTTTACGCGCAAACAGCGGCTCCAAAAGTGCCCGAATGGCCATGTTATGGCAATTTTGGCAAGGTCACCCAAAACCCGTATTTTCTAAAAAAGGGCAAAGCGGGGACCAAGAGAAATTTTTCAAAAATCGCCCAAAAAGTAGCCCTCGCTTGAAAGGTTCAAAAGCACTCTGCCGCAAAAGGCATTATCCTCTAATTAGTATACACTTAAAGTGCAAAGACTGGGCAAGATTTTGGCGCAAAAAAAGGCTCAAGGAGTGCCCGAATTGCCAAGTTATGGCAATTTTCGCATGGTCACCAAAAACCCGCATTTTCTGAAAAAGTTTAAAGGGGGGACCAAGGGAAATTTTTCAAAAATCGCCCAGAAAGTAGCCCTCGTTTGAATGGACTAAGAGCCCTCTGGCGCAAGTGGCATTATCCTCAATTAGTATGCACTTAAAGAGCAAAGACTGGAGAAGATTTTGGTACAAACACCGGCTCCAAACAGTGCCTGAATGGCCAAGTCATTGAGATTTTCGCAAGGTCACCCAAAACCCGCATTTTCTGAAAAAGTGCAAAGGGGGGACCAAAGGAACTTTTCCAAAAATCGCCCTAAAGGTAGCCTTCGCTTAAAAGGGCCATAAGCACTCTTGCGCCAACGGCATTATCCTTTAATTAGAAAGCACTTAAGGTGCAAAGACTGGAAAGGATTTTGGCCCAAACAGCGGCTCCAAAAGTGCCCGAATGGCCAAGTTACAACAATTTTTGCAAGGTCACCCAAAACCCGCATTTTCTGAAAACGTGCAAAGGGGGGACCAAGGGAAATTTTTCAAACATCGCCCAAAAAGTAGCCCTCGTTTGAAAGGCCCAAAAGCACTGTGGCGCAAATGGCATTATCCTTTAATTAGTATGCTCTTAAACTGCGAAGACTGAAACACATTTTTGCGCAAACAGCGGCTCCAAAAGTACCCGAATGGCCAAGTTAAGGCAATTTTTGCAAGGTTACCCAAAACCCGCATTTTCTGAAAAAGTGCAAACGGGGGACCAAGGAAAATTTTTCAAAAATCGCCCAAAAAGATGCTCTCCCTAAAAAGGCCCAAAAGCACATTGGCGCAAAAGGCATTATCCTCTAATCAGTATGCACTAAAACTGCAAAGACTGGACAAGATTTTGGCGCATAAGGCGGCTCCAAAAGTGCCTGATTTGCCAAGTTATGGGAATTTTTGCCAGGTCACCCAAACCCGCATTTTCTGAAAAAGTGCAAAGAGGGGACCAAGGGAAATTTTTCAAAAATTGCCCAGAAAGTGGCCCTCGCTTGAAAGGCCAAAAAGCACTCTGGCGCAAGCTAAATTAAACTCTAATTAAAATGCACTTAGAGTGCAAAGACTGGAGAATATTTTGGCGCAAACAGCGGCTCCAAAAGTGTTCGAATGGGCAAGTTATGGAAATTATCGCAAGGTCGCCCAAAACCCGCATTTTCTGGAAAAGTGCAAAGGGAGGACCAAGGGAAATTTTTCAAAAATCGCCCAAAAAGTAGCCCTCGTTTGAAAGGCCCAAAAGCACTCTTGCGCAAATGGCATTATTCTCTAATTTGTATGCACTTAATCTGCAAGGACTGGAGAGGATTTTGAGGCAAACAAGCGGCTCCAAAAGTGCCCGAATGGCCAAGTTATGGCAATTTACGCAAGATCACCCAAAAGACGCATTTTCTGAAAAAGTGCAAAGGGGGGACTAAGAGAAATTTTTAAAAGTTCTCCAAAAAAACAGCCCTCCCTTAAAAGGGCCAACAGCACTCTGGCCGAAATGGCATTATCCTCTAATTAGTATGCAGTTAAAGTGCAAGGACTGGAGAAAATTGTGGCGCAAGAGAAAGCTCCAAAAGTGCCCGAAAGGCCACGTTATGGCAATTTTTGAAAGGTCACCCAAAACCCGCGTTTTCTAAAAAAGTGCAAAGGGGGGACCAAGGACAACTTTTAAAAAATAGGACAAAAAGT